CAGCGCTCAGAAAACATGCTGGAGAAAGAAGTAGCCTGAAGTAGTCAGTGCTGATGACTGTCTTGAGGCCACGTTGTACTGACAGGAGCTTTTTGTCTAGTAGGTGGGTGGCTGTTACCTTGGGGGTGGGACAGCAGTTAAGGGTAAGAAGTGAAAGGATTTAAAAAAAACCCCACATGATTCTGTTTTTTAACTGAACATTGACCTTTTAGATGTGCATACAACATAGCACTCAATGTAGAGTTGGCAGCAGAACTGGGAAATCTAATGTACTACGAAATAATAATAAGTACTACGAAATAATAGACTCTGGAATGGGGAAAATTTTCCATAAAAAAAGAAGGTCCAGGGAATGTATGTTAATTACCCCTACTTTAAGCAATGGAAGTGCAGATTCTTTTTTTGAAGTTAGCTGGTAAAATCACAGATGGCAGTGGTCTTAAAGAGGAAAATGTGAATTATTTACTACAATACATAATCAGAAAAGCTTGAAGTTAGTATACAATAAGGAGGCAGAAGTATCTCATCATTAAGCCATAGGCTACACAAATGGCACAAGACAGATGTTTGAAGACAACAGACTACTTTCTACAAGAGGGATAGGTTTGGATTAGTTTGGAATTAAGACGGAAGACATCTGAAGGGTGTGCTTTAGGTTGTGGTGATAAATTAGACCCTATCTTGTAAACAAGGACATGTTTACTCAATGGAGATGATTTACCTAGTTAAACTAGCTATATTAATGTCCTACCAATATGACACTAGGGCTGCTTTTGGGGGAGAAGTAGAAGATAATGTTTTCATGGATTCCTTTAGAGAAGACATGTCATTGCAGTAGGGAGTACACCCTCAAACATCCAATTAATTCAATATTTTAGGAATTGATAAATTCTTAGTGCAGGTGAGCTATATATTGACTCAGGTTTCTTTTCGTGGAACTTCAGCAAGAATGACAACTAACCTTTCTTGATTCTGTTTTTGGAACCTTCTCTATCTGTTCTTAATGGTACTTTTTCAAATTTGTGGAACGGTTTCAATTAAAATTGTTAAAAATTTTGATAATCAGTTGTTCCATTTCCGAAACAAAACTGAGACAATATGGAGGCTTTTAGAAAAAATTCACAATGCTAGGGGTTGAGAGAAGGAGGGGGCAAATTCAGAATTAAAAAAAAATCAGATATGTATTAAAGGGAAATTACTGGATTCAAGAAAAGAGACTGAATCTGGTTTATCTTATCATTTCTACTATTACTAGGAATGCACATTAACAATACACTGTTTTGGGATCTTGCCCTGTATTGATGCTTCTGTCTTGCTGTCTTCTCTCTACACACCCTGATGCAGTTAACTTCATTTCTCAGCTTCAGCTGAGATTTGAAAGACCTAAATAAGATAATTAGATTATTGTAAAATGTTTGTATAATCTAAGGTGTTTACATCTTAGATTAGTCTAGTGAGTGGTACTAAATGCAACTTAAAATAAAAACGTTGATTCTGGAGGAAGGCTCAATTAGAAAGGGATGAATGGTTCAAAGAGGGCCTCGGAATTAATGCGGGAGCTGCTCACTGTAGCCTGCTCTTCTTATTCCACCAGGGAGAGTCTGCTCTTTTACTACCATAGACCCTATATTCAGGCAGGATGCTCGCTTACTTATTTTTGATAGCTATCTCTATTTCGATGAAACAGTTATCTTGGAGGTACCCTAGGGTCGCTCTGAAATATCAAAGGGTGTGTTCTTAGGCATTTTAACTCAACAGAATTAAATAGTGAAAAGTGCTCTGAAGGAGCTGTAAAAGACAGAAGCTGGCATGTTTCAGGATGCATTATATGCTGGTATTCTGTGCTACAGTGCACCAGCCAAAGCTACCTCAAACACGATCACCACCATCTGTTAATTAATGCAAACATATTTTCAGTCATTTCGGAGTTGTGGTTTAGCTAACACTGTGTGTTGGCTTTCGGCATGAAGCATACAGTGGTTTTTGAGAAGCCTTTAGGAATAGAATTGTAGGCTTCACAGAGTGTACAAAGTCCCCCAGGACTGCATTTATTTTGTTTTCAAACTGACTGATTACTGCAGGATCCTGCCACCAGTGCAGAGTCTAGCAGATCTGCTGTGAGTAAGATTATAGAAGATTGTCTGTAGATAGCAGAGAAAGTGGCCGGCATCAAAATAAGTACCTAGTAACTCATATTAGGAGTTTTATTCACAAAGTGAAAAGCCACAGCAACAAATTATGTGATGCTGCTTTT